AATTTAATAATTATTTTAAATAAGAATTGCATACTATATATATAAATATAATATAATTCAAATCTTGTGTTGAATAAAAATACCATAATTTCTGCAACTTCATCAGTCATAGGAATGTCATCCTTTTTTGTATGTGTCATGTTGAAGAGCTTTATTCGTCTAACTTTACAACTAGACGTATTTTCCTACAATGTAGAATAAAAATTAACTCTTGAAAAAAATTAATTAATAATATAAATAATTTTTGTTACTATGTGCTACTAGTTGTAAATCACTATATGAATAATCAATAATACCTCATCTTTAGCTATACAAGCAAAGCTCTTTGACCCAGCTGTGTGAGTAAACTTCTGTTATTGTCTGCTAGCAACACCAACATGCTCTCGATCGTACAATTTTAAATTTGCACTTATAAATAATATATTATAATGACATTATATTATTTTTGAAAAAAAAACATCATACATGTTCTTTCTTTGAACTCCAAAACCTGACTATATTTGTCCATTTATACCTGAGCATTCCAAGTGAGACAATTTGCAGCTTCTCTTCAAGGCTGAGATCAATCTTGAAGTATTTCTTTTTTAAAGAACTCTTGTGGTCTCTCTATCTCTTCCCTAATTCTTGCTTCAAATAATTGTCTAAGACCTCTAAAGAAAATTTCTCCTACAAATAACATAAGTGTTCAAAGTAAATATAAATTAGTATTGAACTGTTATGGATCGATTATCGATTATAATGACATTATTACCTTAACAAAATTCAAAGCCTGATTTTTTTTACTATTTGGCATTTCAAGCCATGACTCATAATTTATCGGTAAAAGATTAGCATTACGTGCAACCATGCCTAAGTAACTGCATAGAAGATGTGCTTCAAGAACAATAAGTTGACCAACATTGTTTTTTAAAACTTTCACACAGTTCCCAGGAGGAAGTTGGTATAATTCCTTCAACGTTGTACGCCATCTAGTCTTGCGTGTTCGACCATTTTCAACTATATAATAAATAATTCAATGTAAGTTTTCAAAATGAACCAACAATTAAAAAAAGTGTCGGACATTACCTTCAATTTATATAGCTTCTTCAACAGTAATCGGAACTTTCAAAGAGCCAACACCAGTCATTCCTCATTATTTGTTTCTTCCTATTCTTGAGAAGCTCAAACAATCTGCAAATCACTAAATTTTCTCCTGGACTTAATATATTAACAAACAAACAACAATTTTAGTCGTTAGTTCCGGTTCCTTTGTATAAAAAATTTCTTGCCATATTCCTTTGCATCACTTTATAAGAAAGTAATTGTAACATCAATAGTCGATTATGTGGACTATAATTTGTTTCGAACAAATTACATGTATCGGGATTAGATTTCGATTCTTCGCATAACTAAATAGAACTAACTCTACTTTAAAATAAAGCAAAGAGTCAAGACAACATAAATTTATAGAACAAGTGAGATATTGAAGCTTCCAACCAATTCAGTAAGAAAAAGAAAAACGTATCTAACAAATGATAAAGAAAATATGACAACCAAAATCAAATAGTGTATGAAATTGCTCTATTAATATCCATTAAAAAACTCACAACAAAATCCATTACACTAAATTTCGAGTTTCAATACAGCAAAATGGCATAAGACACCATAAACCCATATTCAAATCTAGCTTTCAACACCTACTAATCGGATGATAAACTCAAAACACCTCTATTTTCATTAACACATGAAAATAATCATTTCACACAGCACACACAATAAACCAAAAACATTTATTTAACACAGAATCATATAAAATTCATTAACACAACTGAAGTTGAAGAGCTTATAGAACAAGAAACTCGTAAGGAGAGCATTTGAAGGACAAAACAATAAAACTTTCAATGGCAGACAAGAATTTCTGTTAAATACACAAGCTGATGCAATGATTCAAATTTCTTTACAAATTCATCATCCTAAATATTTAGAACATCAAAATAACATAACTTTTATTACAAAGAAAAATCATTCGTGTTAACTTGCAAAGGTACATCAAAGCACTTAAATAGAAAATCTGAGCTAAATAGTGACCGTAAGCTTTGCGAATGAACAAATTTGCAAAATAATTCATCCAAAACCATAGCAATAATGCAAATCAAGAAAACCCATCAACTGAAAGTGATAGTAATCACAGTTCTGCAATCTACAGAAAAAGTAAAGCCAAAACAAACCCTAATTTTTCTCTATAAACACAAATTCAGAAGATATTATACCTGTAAAAATGGTGAAATTCGCACCTCAAGTTAGAGAGTCAAGCGTTGATGGCTTAACGTTGAAGGCCTCGATGGCTTCGAGCGGTGACGACCAGCAGCAGTTTTGCGTGGTTATTTGGGTATGTCCGGCGGAGATGGAAAATAGGGAAAGGGGAAAGGGTTTCGCACGATTAAAAAATATAAAAAATTGTGGCATTTGTAGACACAAATGCCACCATTTATCATTTTATAGCGGTGTTTTCTAAAAAATGTCACTAAAGTACATGTTTGTCGCTGTGTTTTCTTAGAAACGCCACTAAAGTACGTGTTTTAGCGGCCTTTTACAACAAATGTTGCTAATGTAAACATTTAGTGTCATTTTTTATATAAACGCCGCGATGTGTATAAATTTAATGGGGTTTTCTTTGAAAATGCTACTAAAAACACCGCTAAAAATATTTGATTTAAGGACCAACACAAAATTTGGGAGTTTAGAGATTCATGGATCGTGAGATCATGATGAGTGTGGCGGCGTTTGTAAACCCAAACACCACAAACATACCAAACTATTACGGAATGTTTTTAAACGCCGCTAAAATACTACTATGTTGTAGCGTTTATTGAAAAAACGCCACTACAGATGAACCCTATTACGGCATTTGTATAAAAATGCCATTAAAGTACTACTCTATTGCGGTATCTGTTGAAAAAAGGCCACTATAGATGACCCTATTGCGGCGTTTGTATAAAAACGCCACTAAAGTACTGTTCTGTTGCGGCGTTTTCTCAAAAAAACCACTATAGATTATCATATTACCACATTTGTATAAAAACGCCGCTAAATAACTACTTTGTTGCGGCGTTTGTTGAAAAAAAATACTATGGATGAACCTATTGCGGCATTGTATAAAAACGCCGCTAAAGTACTACTCTGTAGCGGCATTTTGTATAAAAACAACGCTAAAGTTACCATTTTGCGACGTTTGGAATGTAAACGCCACTATATGTTTAACATTAGTGGTGTTTATTCTCAAAACGCTGCTAAAAACACTGATGTAGAACAATTTTGTTGTAGTGAACCTCTTTCTTGATGACCTACATTTGCTAATGTGAATAATAGACCAAAAATCATAACAAAGATGAACGAATTATCCATTGTAAATGACTCGAAGATACCCTTATACTAGAAATCTACATAATACAATTATGTGATCAAATCAAAACTTATATAAATATGAAATCCCATTATTACACGAACAAAATTCAATCGGATGAACATGTTCTCAAGCCTATTTGAGAGAAAGCTTCATAAAATCGAAATAACAAACAATTATATTGTTTGCAAATATAAACAATTTCATGCATCTACCCAAAACTCTAAAATCAAAGAACCATTTGACAGAAACCCATTAGATTTCAGTATGGAACAACCTCGTATGTAATAAGAAATTGATAATCAAAGAATCCGTTTCAAGAAAAAAAAAAGTATTTCAAGAATCAAGAAAATCAGCAAATAAAACTGAGTTCAATCAGAAAGGAAAATAACACTAAAAGCACTAACAAAAGAGATGTTTTTAGCAAAGTTGAATGTCGATCCAAAAAAGCTTCTCTTATTTTGAAGGCACAAGATGATTTTTCTGAATAAATCAAAAGCCGGAAAAGCAGAAATAAAAACCTACATAAAATGGGTGAGTTTAATGGTGGGTTCCTTTTCTCGTCAGTTTATTAAATGCCTTTTTAATATTTTTATGGTAAATTTAATGTTGAGTTTTTACTGTGAAAGATAACTTACGAGTTATATCCGTTAGAACCAAACTATAAATATAAAAATTAACTAGAATCTAATGTCTTTATCAAGAATTAAATATTAAATACGAAAGTTTACCTAAATTAATTGATAGTTTAAAATCTTTGAATCTTTCTTTTGTTATGATATTTCAAAAAGATAAAATTATCAAACTATCTGACATGAGAATATATGAGATTTTCTATTTCTTGGGAACTAACCTTTTTTTATATATCTGAATTAAGAATCAGTTATTGTTTGTACCTATAACTCTTTTCCACATCAAATTATAAATACAACTTTAATAATATATACACTTATTTTCATGATACTTCTAATATCTTATAACTTTATAATATAATTTATCACTTAAATTATTGATATTTTATGATAACAATATACATTAAAAATATAAATTTGTCACTTATTTTCAGGATTGCAATGGTGCTAGTATTTGTCGTTATGGGAATCAACAGAGGAGTTTAGTACTCTCCAAAAAAAGTTGTTATACTCTAACAGAACATTTGAAAAGGTTGATATCGAAAAAGCTGAGATAAAGTAATGGCAGAAAATCACCTCTTGATGGATTAGAAATTTGTTTGTAGGAAAGAAAATGATTGGTTGGTCGCTAAGAAAACAAGGGAAAGTGAAAGGGTTATTGAGATATGTCAGCTTGTAAGGTAAAATAATGTCATATAAGTCAATTAACTTATCATATCAGTATTTCATCATCACAATGACTGGTTAACGGTGATTGAATTGTTATAAATCGATAACGTTAGTGATTAATTTGTTAATTTAAAAACTTTAGTGGGGAAACAAACATATACTCAGACATTAGTGATCATATGTGTAATTTACCCTTAAAAATATTATAAAAATAAACAATCAAACATTTTAATTTCCTAAATTTGAGGGGGAAATAAAATCAGAATTGGACCTATTCTTTCACGTAGAACGTGGGGAGTTGTTATTGGTAGAAGGATATAAAAAAGTGGTGATTTTAGTTTTTAAATATTAAAAACCTGCTTTTGCTTCTTTGCTCGTTGATAGGATCAGTCATGGCAGACCAGGTAACCTTGTATTTCCCCCTTTCTCTCTTCCTTCATTTTGCACCAAACTTCTGGAAAACAATATTCAAAGTTCCCAACAAAGCTCTCATCATTGTACACATACCAGTTTAGTGGATCAGATGACACTTCGAGTATGCAGTGATAATTTTACCATTATTGTATGCGTCTCTCGGAATGCTTTTGCTGTGAGTTTTAATCTGTAACCACTGCAAATGGTTTCAGTTTAATCTCTTTTGCTTTGACAATGATTTTGAGCTGATAAGTAACAGTTTCACATGGAATTATCAATTTAGGGACCAACATCAGTCGGTTTCCGGCCAACTCGACCAAATAAAAATACACATTCCACTAAAAAAAATTAATTCTACTTGATAAAATAAGGATCAAATTGAAAAAAACAATATAAAAAGGGTATTATTATAATTATTCTTAAATATATAGGGTATAATTTTTTTTTGGGTTGGATCCGATATTTTCACCTTAAACTCGAATTAAATTAGAACCCGGATTTTTTTTTAAATTCAACACAATATCATGTCGAAACCCATCGAGTTTGGATCCAGTAATCATCCATGACTATCATCTATTAGTTCTCACATTAGACCCACAGTATCTTGTATATTGTCCCAGATTGAATTGAAAACAGCCCCAGTCGATTTTCGCTTCCCTACAACTAATCAAACAAGGCATTGTTTCAGTCGCTACATGGAGTTTCACAGGTACGTACTGCTTGTAAATTTTCATGTTCTGTTTGTTAGCAAACTATCAGTTGTATCTTTTTTTTAATTTTAAAATCAATGACAGGTGCTTGGCTTCTAAGGGTAAAGGGTCTAAGCAATGTGAGAGTTTTGCCAAATACTACCGTTCTCTTTGTCCTGCTGAATGGGTGAGTAGACCAACTTTTCTTAATCACCATTAGTAAATGAGAGTTTGCCTGGTGAATGGTATTTATTAAAAATATGAAACAACGTGATAAAATTAACCCATAATATTTGTATAAATGTTGATTTTACTCTTTATCCTATTTTTGAAGTATCTTAACGGCTTAGCCTTTCGATATTTCGATTTTTGGTTAAAATATTTCTTGTTGGACGGAAATCATTAGTTGAGACTAACTATTAACACATGTTGAGTGTCACCAAAAGTGATGATGTGGCATGTGATATGCCACCAAAAATGATGATGTGGTATGTACCACATCACTCAAAATAAAAATATGATGTGTGTCTAATAATCAATTAAACGTTAACAATATAATAATGTGTTTAGTGTTAGTCAACTAAAGATTTCTAAACAATAGAGGATAATTTGATCAAAATTTAAAAAGTTGAAAAATAGAGAACAAAATGATTATTATGCCAAAAAATTTCTACTTGATCAAAATTTGAAACGTTGGAAAAATAGAGAACAAAATGACCATGATGCCAAAAAGTTTCTACTTGAACATCTTATTAGTTTATGAACAGTTTCATAAAGTTTGTCGAGAATTTAGATGGATGATCATGAACAGTGACGGATCCGAAAATATTTTCTTAGGGTGGACACATATGTATTAATAATGAATTTTTTTTGTATGGGACATACATAAAATTTCATAGTGAACAGAAAAAATAAAATCACGAAAGAACATAAAAAAGTTCGATTTTAAAGGTGAGCACGTGCTACCCTAACATGCACATAGATTTGCCACTGGTAATGTATCAAAAATTACTTGTAAAGGAAATAGAAGATAGATAACTTAAGCTATTGTATTAAACTCATGATTAACATTTTAATATCATGGATAATGCTGAAATTAATGCAGATTGAGAAGTGGAATGAACAGAGGGAGAATGGTACATTCCCAGGTCCTCTTTGAGTGTGATTACACAGGGAAGTAGGAGAAGTTATATTTGATGGTCTTTAGCTAGTTTGAATGGTTATTCATGAAATTAATAAGCTACAAATGGAGATTTGTGGTCGATGAGTTGTTAAAAAACCCTGATGTTTTAATTTAAGAACCTGCTTTTTTCAGCAGATTGTTACATCGTTCCTTTACAGTTTGGTGCATGAATTAGCTAGATAAAATTTATATAATTAATGGCAACAAATTTAAACTCGACCCAACTACACCCTTTAAAAAACCTCAAGCCAGAAACTTTAAAATAAAAATCGAGTGGTTCGGGACGAATCAAAACCTATAAGATCTAGGTGAAATTGTCATCCTACACCCACTCAGCTTTGCTTGCCCAGCAACACCATTGTTTGTCAACAATTAATTAACAAGTGATAGACATTAAGATAACCATAACAACTGAACTAATAATAGAATCAATTAAGCATAATCCAAAATGTGAAGTACTAGGAATCCAAATTTATACATAAAAGAACCAATATGCATACCATAAACACTAAAACACAATGCAGAAAATAAAAAGAAGCATCTGAAATGGGAAACCAAGAACAAACGCCACCTCAAGGCTTCCACGGCTGCTGATAATAATTGTCTCTCCTATTGTTCCTGAAAGCACAGCAGCCAACAGAGTAGACGACGATGAGGAAGACGAGGAAGACGATGTTGACGACTGCCACCTTCTTCCACGAACTCCTGAGATTATCTATGAATCCAGCCTTGCACGACTCGCAGTCGAAGCACAGAGTGTCCAAGTTATTATCCCACAGATTGCAGTCGGGGTTCACCGAATCGGCACTCCCTCTCGTCCAGTTCGTCGGTCCGACGTAGTTGAATTGACAGTCGTTTGATGGCTTACAGCAACCCGACTGCAAATTTCATTGAACACAAGCATTACATCCACAACAACTTGAAGTAATGCAAATAGTGAAGGTTTAATTTGGAGACTGAATCATTCATATTTAGAAAATAGTTGTAGTGGGTAATTATTATTTGACAAATTTAATTTCTTTAATACTCTAATAAAAAGGATAAACACAAATTTAATAGTTTCTTTCTTTCTTTTAAAGAGTTACTATCAAAAAGAAAAACAAAGCGGACTTCACTTCCTCACTTAAATGTAAAACTTTTGAAAATTTGTGTAAATTTACTTTCATAATTACACTAATCCAAACAAAATTAATGGCTTAAAAGGTTATTGTAAAAAAGAAGCACACAAACAGATTTCACTTGCTCATTTGAAGTCTAAAAAAATTAAGAAGGTTTTTATTAACAGAGCAAAGTTCACTTTCAAGATTATACCGATTTTAAAAAATTAAGAATGGACTGGGATTGATTGTTCTAATAAGAACAGTCAATCCCAGTCCATAAATGTGAATATATGCAGAGAAACTAAAACAAAATCCCAGATCTAAGGGGGAAAAAGTATACCTGAACGGAGGACAAGTGCTCCTGGTAAAACTCTGTGACAGAAACATTGAGATACTTATCATGGAAATCAGTACAAACTTTACTATCAGCCAAACAGCTCTTGATCTTATTCCAGTTCTTCCCATCGGTAACTCTCTTCTGTAACCAGTTTGAGTAATCACCGAGTCGGTATTCCTTATACCCTTTCCCGGACAAAGTTTCTCCGGCCCCTTTATTCGTCACCGCAAAAGCAAAGATCGTGAAGACGATGCCGAGCACAATGAGGAGGAACATGACTACTAGATAAAGCCAGAGCAGCCAAGTGACGCGGCAACACGCGCCGATTAGTCCCGCGAGTGAGACCAACATGAGGAAGACTCCGATCACGATGACGGGCTTGTCTAAAAACCGCTCGCATTCCGTCACGCCTTCTCGACTGAGCCAGATGCCGGCACCGAGGATGGGGATGGAGAGGAGAAACGTTATGAAGTTTAGGATTCCGACAAGGTTGTTGCTAAGGCGGAAGGCCATCGTTTCAAGCTATGGGTTGGTATTTTGATTTACTTTTTCTTCGTTTGGATGATGAGAAAATGACGAAAACCGATTGGCATATATAATGTTGCAATGAATTTGCAGAAGTTGCAAAGAAAGTTCTCTCCACTAGCAAATCTGTGGTTTCTTTGGGGTTACGATAACGCGCTGTACACGTTTTTCAACCGGCGCGTCCAATTGATAGTGATATTTAAAGTTAGATACGAATTATTAGATTTTTAATCGTTAACTTTTACTTGAAAGGAACAAAAGTGAGAGATCTTTTATATATTTACCTTTTTACGAAGAAAAAGTGATAGGCTTGTCAAGTAATCATCTTTTTATATATGAAACGGTTTATATTTACATTGCTTTCTATTTGGTTAATTTTAAACTCTAAATTATGCTTAAAAAAGTTTTAAATTTAAAAAAATTCTACGACGTTGATTAGTACTGCTGAGCACCACTAACGATAAATTAAAAAAGACACATATAGGGCAAGGTTACCCAAAAAAGTTTAAAAAAATCGATTTGACACCCTTTTTCTGAATATGTACCAAAGTAGCACCATTTCTGACAGACTAAGAGAGATGCCTTGCTGATGTAGCAACAAGGCGCATAGAAGGGGGCGTGCTTCGACTGATGTGGTTACCACTGGGAAGATGCTTCTCAAGAAACGTAACTTCGTAGGGTTTTGCGTGCCAACTGGGAAGCGTGTTGCAGGGCACACGCCTTCTCTCTCGCTAAACACCCTCTCACTCTCCTATATGAACCCCTCCCCATCTCTTAACAAATCACACCAAAAATTTATATATTTCTCTCATCTTTCTTATCTTTTATACTTTCTTTTAAGTCGATTCGTTATCATTTTTTTTGAAGGTAATCATTTTTATACTAATTTTTTATTGAATATTTTATTATTTTATTAATTAATTGTAAATATTAATTTTTTTATAATTTTTTTCAGTTATAAAATGAAAGACGGGATGCTAGGATTGGATGCTAATCATATTTTGAGTCATATTGCCAATATGGTAAAAATATTAAACTATGTTATTTTAATTTTTTGAATATTTTATTTATTTAAATAATTTTTTGAATATTATTTCAAATTTTAATTCATATAATGTTTATTAATTAGGAACATGTGTAGACACTCATTTTTTTCCGAGTCTACAAAAATATTATTAGTATTATTATTATTATTATTATTAATATCATCTTATTACATTTTACAGTACAGGCTCTAGTTAGCCTCAACAACCCCAGCAGACTCCCACGTGAAGCAGCTCCATACCCATGACCTGCCACCACCAACTTCCTACTGCAACAACCATCCACTGCTCATTAAAGATTTTTTCTATATTATGTTCAGTTTGTAATGAATGTAAAAGGGGATTCGAACAGAACTAAAAAACAAAGGGGAGGGGTTTTCGGGTTTTCAAAACAATGTAAGGGGATATTCCCCATCTTTTTCGAATGGAAATGAAGCATTATCAAAAAAAAATTGCTAGCTTTTTAACTATGGTTTTGTATATGCATATGGTCTAAAATCGAAACAAAAAAATAGAGAGTAATCCAAAATAAAACAAACAAAAATGAAAAAGGGGTTCTGACATTCGATCGGGCACCTCGCCTGTGATAGGGATATCCGATTGACGATCCAAACGGTTAAAAGTTGTGCAAGGCCACCATGAACAATATACCTGAAAATCGAGACGATCGGATGGTGAGCGGCGACGATCAGAGCTTAGGAAGATTGAGCGGTTTTCGGTCGTTTTGCGACAAACATAGTCGAGTCTCGTAAAACAGAGGTCATATCGGCGACGATGAGGTCAAGGCGAACCTCCTGATGAAATTTGGTGACCATTGGCCACCAGCGACGGCGGACTACGACCGACGGAGGTAATCCACTGACTACTCACCGATTTTATAGAGAAATGGGAGGCCCTCTCTCTCGAAAACATATTTAAAATGAAAAAATGTTAATTTTTATAGAAAATTTTCAGGGTAAATCATGCATTAGTCCCCCTAGGTTTGGTGCCTTTTTACAGAATGGTTATATGTAGGGATTGTTTTCATAATTTACTCATTTATGTTTATGCCTTAAAATATTTGGTTTAATTTCATTTTAGTCCCTTTAATTTTAGCACTCTTGCATGTTAGTCACTTGTAGGAACCTTTTTATAATTTACCCATTTCTTATGCATGTAATATATTTTGGTTTAATTTCTTGTTGGTCCCTTTACTTTTAGTCGTGTTTTACATTTTAGTCCTTGAATCCTTATGTTTTATTGATTTTATTTTTAGCACTTTAGTTTTATTACTTTCACTTTATTCATTAATATGTTATGTTTCATGTTTTATTTATTTATGATTTTGACACTTTATTTTCTATTATTTTATTTTAGTCACTATTTATTCCTTATTTGGTATTGTTCTTCTTATTTGTTGCATTTTGGTCCTTGTATTCTAATATATGTGTATGTTTCATATTCTTATGTATTTTATGTGTATGCACCATATATATGTATTTATTTAAATGTCTTTATATTTAATAATAATTTTCAACATTTACTCGTATATTTTCAAGTTTCTTATTTTGAGCTTAGTATTTTATATCTTTCTATTTATCCCTAGTTAGCACATTAGTTTATTTGTTAATATTTATGATTCGTGCTTCACTTTTTGGTTAACTTATATTTTGGTCATTTGTTAGTTGTAGATATTTATTTATCTTTTTCAAATTGAACATGTTTTTTTTTCTGTCGACTTAGGCCTAAGATAAATTTTTATTTGATGTTCGATTGCACATTTATATTTGTATTCGATTTAATCCATGTTTGATAATTTTTTCTTTTAATTTTGTATTCCTATTTTTGCATATTGTGACCCTTATTTATGTGTCCATCGGTATTGTTGTTTCCACCTTGTTTTATAAATTACCATGGTTTTTTTTAATTTTAAATGGAAAATTTCATTGTGAGGGAAATCTATGAAGACATCTCCCAACTACAAGGGAATGTATCTTTTCAAGGATTTTTCGCACAAATGTTTTTTATTTCGATAATTTTCTTTGTTCCACATTTGATTATTTTTCACCTTTTTTCACTGTTGTTTTGTTTTATTTTATTTTATCTTTCGAAAAATTGCGAAATAACGTCTTTTGTGAGGGGAATCTATGAAAAATCTCCTAACTATAAAGGAAGTGCATTTTAAAGGATTATTCGTACAAAATGACGTATTTTCTCTTATAAAAATAATTATAATATTTTTATTTCTATAAAAATATATTTTGGGCTATTTAATCATTTTGATCCATTGTATTCCTTATTTTAAGTTTTTTTTTAAATTGACACTTATTTAAATAAATTTGAATAAATAGAAGGATCATAATTTATTGAAGTTTGTAATTCCCAATATTTAAACAACATATAATCGTTTAGGTACCTAAATTTGGGTATTGTAGGAGTGCTCACCCTTCCCAACACGTAATCGACTCCCGAACTCTTAAAAATGAATCTTTGGTAAAACGTATACCATTTTTTGTCGTTTAAGGTTTTCAACCTACCTAACTTGAAGGTTGGTGGCGACTCCAAAATCAAATTGTTTTCAAAAGTGTATTTCATCTTCTTCCTTGAAATTAATTTTTTTTCAAGCCTAACGGATCCCCGCGAGAGATGTTATGACAGCTTGGCGACCCCGATGGGGACTTCGAGAGTCAGACCATTTACGATTATACGTTGTTTTGTATTTCGGAATTACAAACTTAAATTGTATTTAGTTTACAATCCTTTTGTTTATTTATTTTGAATTTCAACATATCATGCATTATTTTATTTTTTAACTAATTGACTTTTGATTTTATTGGTCTTCAAAATTGAATAGGTTTTTGAGCTTGTAAAAATTTGTCTTTTGTCGTGTTTTTAAAGGTTTGTGAGTTTCTCCTCACACACAACACATGCATTTCCATACCATAAGCTCACTTACGAGCTTTGTCCCTTTTAAGTTGAGGTGAAAGCTTAGCCTACGTGAGATAATTTGTTTCTCTGTATGGGTTTTAGTAAGTAACATTTGGGGTTCATATACCTTATAACTATGTGAGATAAATTATTTCTCTGCATGGATACAAAGGAATGTATCCTCTCGAATTGAACTCGATCCGTACGAGCCTATAATGGGCCAGGATTGAGGGTTTGACAGCCTAAGGAGGCACCAACATGGACAATTCGAGTACCTTTTTTCTTATAACCTAATACAACATATAATGAGCCCTAGTAACCCACCCCGATAAAATTCATGTCGAACCTCTGTCCGTCAGTGGGTACCCAAAATAAGTATACACAAAGGAGAAACGACACTAAACCTCTTCTCTTTACCCACATTATTTTATTTTCCGAATAAAGCATGTGAACTAGAAAATCATGTGGCTAGGTTTTATTTTCGAACAAAGCATAGGGGTAGAAAAATGTTTTGGGTAGGATTTAACCTAATAAGGGTAGAAAAGCATGTGGGAAGATGTTGCAAATACCTTTCAATAATATCTTATTGATATTTGATTTTTTATACTGACGTATTTTCTATGTTTGATTGTTTATTATTTGACATTTTCATGATCATCATAAATAAAAAGAAAGGTGTTGATTAACCAAGTAATCATCATAGTAGAAGAGTGATCATTAATATGGAAAAGAGTTTTAATAACAAGGAAGAACCTAATCTGGTTGTTCAAGTTTGGTCTGAATAAATACAAAGGGTAAGAAGAGACAATTTACCTGGAGATTATGTATCACAGATAACTACAGATATTAATGTCAATTTCAAGCAGAATGAGATACAATAGCTGATAGATATTTGGTAGAGCTGGAGAGTAGTTATCAAAGAGAAGCTCCACAAGAAATAGGGTGACGTAGCCCATCTCCTCTATGTAAAGATGGATGAACCGTTGCTTAAAGCTCTAGTCGAATTCTGGAATCTCGCATATAACTGCTTCACTTTCAACAGACAAGATTTGACACCAACAATAGAAGAATATATTTCTCTATTAAGCTTTGAGAGCCTCCAAGTGGATAGGATTTATTTCATACCTC